TTAAAAGTCTGATGCTCTACCAACTGAGCTAGCCAGGCTCACATGTAAAAGGGGCAAATTTCATGCAGAAGAAAAACTAGCCAAGAAAAAGAGAGCTGGAAACAATACAGAAAGCCTGCTACTCTCGCTCTCTTAGCAGTCCTAGCCCCAGCCTGCTCCTCCATCTGGAGCCCTGAGGCCTTATTCTTTTTTTTTGTTAAATATCAAATCCAGGAGAAAACACAGTTATACAAAGTAAAACGAAATCACAAACAGAAATGTCATTGGAAATACAAAAATAGAAAAGGAAAATGCAATCCCCATCACTTGATCCTCTCTGGGCCATTCCTGAATCGAGATCACCCACTAAGGTCCCTGTGTGCTTACGAGAAATCTGGAGGAACCCATACCACAGCCTGAACATGAAACTCCACCACTCCCAGGTGCCGCAGTAAAACCCTTTCCCTGCTGTGATGTTGCACTCCATATGATTTTATGAAAATATGCTAATGAGAGTGAATATAATGTAACTGGAATATGCTTCATGCAAAAGGTCTCTTGTAAGGTATCATTACAAAGCTTATAATCTACTGTGTGTGTTCATCCTATTTGTATGCACCTATTATTCTTGTATCTGAAACTAGAAATATGAAATATAACTCTGAGGTCCTGTTGTAATTATGCAAAGTGTGGGCCATTAATAGTGGTTTGGAATCTTGATGGCTCCCATTAACCAGGACAATTGACTGTAGATGGCTCTGTCCTGCACCATCTGTGTCAGGCAAGGAAGAATAAAGGCTTGGAGGTCTCACAGGACATGTGACCATGTCACCTGGTACAGGAATCCATCTTAAACCTGGGGCTTTTCCCCAGGAGAGAGACAAAAGATTCCTGCCTTGTACCAAAGCTATATAAGGGGGTGGAACAGAAGAAAGGTGGCTGCAGTCATGAAAAATCCATTAGCTACCACCTGAACTGGAAAAAGGACTATACCTGTCAAAAAGATTGGGCCCAGACAAGAAATAAGTCTAGTCTGCAAAAGGTGCTTATTGGAAGATCTCTGAGGGTGAGATTATATCTGTATTGAGTTTCATACTGTATTAAGCTTAGACTTGCATGTTTTTGTTTTATTTTGCTCTGTGAAGAATACAAACTCCATAGAGAAGGAAAAGCTAATGCCTTAGAAAAGTCTCTGTGTGTGTGTTAGATGGGTGGGAGGGTGTCTAGAAACCACTCTCCTATAGTTTCTTTTCTCTGATTTCCTTTAGAAAAACTGAAGCAGGGAGCAAAAACCATTACCTTCTTCTATATGCATCCGAAGAAGTGGGTTGTAGCCCACAAAAGCTTATGCTCTAATAAATTTGTTAGTCTCTAAGGTGCCACAAGTACTCCTGTTCTTTTTGCCGATACAGACTAACACAGCTGCTACTCTGAAACATTGTCTTCTCTGAGGCTTGAACTCAGGCCCTTCAAATTATGAGACTGACATGCTACCAACTGTGCTAAGAAAGCTTTAGGCTCTGTGCCTATAGGATCCTCCTAAAGCAGTGACTGGGGCAGGGAAGGAGCCAGGAGTGTGCTGGAAGAAGCAGGGAGATCTGGTGCCCAGAGACCTGTCCTGGCAGCTTTCTCAGCAGCAAATAAATCAATTTACCCTGCCAGTGAACAATCTACTGGAACTAATGACAGAACAGTGTGGATGTTTCCAAGATATGCACCCACTTCTATGTATTAGAATTTACTCTCCTTTCCCTAGTATGGCACTTTCTATGTAAATTGGGCAAAGCAAGTCCAGGAAGCTACATGGGTAATAGAAACCAGTGTTCCAGGTTCTTCTTAGACAAAATTGGGAAGCAGGCAGTTATCAGTCTCTGTGGTTCACACCTTTGCCTGGTAATTGAAAGGCTGATGCATCAAACCTAACTCAAGATGTGGCTTTTCAGCGTTGAGACTCCAGTACATTTTAACAGGAAGAAAATCTCCTCTATTCTGGTCTAGCCCCATTTGACTCCTTCTGCCCGTCTTCTCTCCCCACCCCCGCAGTCTCTTTCCTTCCCCATTGGGGCCATGCAGAGAGGAGCCCCAGTCAGTCTCTGTCACAGAAAGTCTGTATCCCATAAAGAGAGGGAGGGGTCGCTCTAAAACATTGATAATGGGTGGGGGAGGGGTGTGCGTGGTTAGGTGGAGAAAGGATGGAGAACTAACAGTGGGGCCCAAAGAGATTCCCCCAGATTGGGGAGATCCCCTGCTGCCCACCATCAGCCAGCTATGGGAAGAACAACTTGGGATTGCTTGGGGAACCCACCTTTAAAAATACAAGTGTAACATGCTAATTATATTTTAATAAGACCAAAGCCTCCTCAAACCCAGTGTCACAATCACTGGAATGACTTTGTCCTGATATTTTACTGGTCGCAGCCATAAAGCGAGTCAAATTACAGTTTCCATTCGGTGTCAATGCACACACAAGAACCCGGAGGCTTTTAATTCCTTAGGTTCTGCTGCCATTTCATTTCTACCCTGTTCCAAGATTTATAGTTGTGCAAAGCAATGTTAGGCGCTTGGGAGCAGGGCCAGCTCCAGGGTGTTTGCCGTCCCAAGCGGCGCAAAAAAAAAAAAAAAAAAAGCCGCAATCGCGATCTGCGGTGGCAATTCGGTGGGAGGTCCTTCGCTCCAAGTGGGAGTGAGGGACCGTCCGCCAAATTGCCGCTGAATAGCTGGACGTGCCGCCCCTCTCCGGAGTGGCCGCCCCAACCACCTGCTTGGCAAGCTGGTGCCTGGAGCCGGCCCTGCTTGGGAGTGTCCCGCCTGGTCCCACCTGCCGCCCCTGGGCAATTTAAAAGGGCCTGGGGACCCCCGCCACCACCACCAGCAGCACAAGGGGGCTAAGGTGGCTTCCTGCCCGCCCTCGCTCCGTGTGGCACGCCACTCACTCCCAGAAGCGGCTGCCAGGTCCCTGTGGCCCCTGGGGTGCGGGGGTCTCCATGCACTGCCCCCGCCCCGAGTGCCAACTCTGCCAACTGTGGCAATGGGAGCTGCATGGGTGGAGTCTGCGGGCAGCGGTGAACAGAGACGCCCTTGGCCCGCCCGCTTAGGGGCTGCTGCCAGAGGGAGGTGTGGGTCACTTTCTGGAGATGCCCGAGGTAAATGCTGCACCCCTCATCCTCGCCTGCACCTCCAACCCACTGCCCCAACCCAGACCCCACACCTGCACCCAAACACCCTCCAAGAGCCTGCCCCCTGCACCTCCTCCTGCAACCCAAACCCCTGACTGAGCCTAGACCGTGCACCCAAACTCTCTCCCAGAGCCCAATCCCTCTCCCTCCCACACCCAAACTCCCTCCCAGAGCCTTAGGCAGGTGTGTGTGTCTGGGGGGGTGGGGGGGGGGCAGGACTTGGTCCCATTCTGGGCACTTCCAAAAATTATACAAACCTGCCACCCCTGTCCAGCCCAATCTTCTGCTGGTGCACCTCAGCCCACACCCATGCAGGGTTTGAAGCTTGCATCACTTAAATTGCGGGACACTGAGGGATTTCAGCTCCCCTTTGCCCAGAGGGAACCTTCACCCCACTCCCAACCAGATTCTTGTCCATGGGATCACTCTAGGGGGGCTGGGTCCCTCTGTGTCTTTTCTCTCTCTACGACAGGCCAGGCTGCAATAACTGGGGCATCTGAGCACCCAGGGCCTTCTCTGGAGCTGCCATTCCCTTTCCCCTTCTATGGTCTCATCTGTCATTGACTCCAGCCTTTTTTCTATCCATCGTCAGCACCATCCCAAGCAAGCTGCACTCGCCTCAAAAAGACAGTGTCCCCTGTTGGGTGTAAATCACTGACCTCTCTCCTCTCTGCGCACTGACTGCCCCTCTGTTTCCTTGCCTCTTAGTCTGTGCAGATGGGACCTGTCCCTCCAGTGCTGGAGGATTCGCCCTTCTCATCTCCCATTGTCCCAAGCAGCAGAGCAGGTGGGAATTTTAAATGTACTGAGGTGACTTAGGAGCAGAAACCCCCCAGACCTTCTATGCACTTGGCACTAGTCCCTCACTGAGCAGGACTGAAACTCATGCAGGGAGACTGCTGGGCCACATCCCCTCTGGGCATGAGCAAAGCAGCAGGGTAAAAGGAAAACCTGGAGATTGAACCCAAGGCCTCATACATGCAAAGCATGTGCTCTACCACTGAGCTACATCCCCAGCTGCATTGGGTTACATTCAGAGCCCTCCTATTTCCAGAGCACTCAGTGGCCTAAAAGGAGCATGGGGGACACATTCCCCGCTCTGAGGGGCAAACCTGCTGTCCTGGAAGTTGCTGGTTCTTAGGGGTCACTTTGCAGCAGGGCCAGATTCTATGTGTGGGGCAGAGAGAGTGTGTGCCCTGGACTCAGGGGGCAGAGATAGATACTCCAGGCACGGGTGAGCGCTGCCTCTGCGCATGCGGGACCTCCCCTCCCTCCCCCATCTGCGCATGCCCAGAGCCAGAAGATACAAAACTCTTCTCCGGCTCCGGAAGAGGCTCCAATGGTCCCGCCCCGCCTAACGTCACTTCCACTCCCGGGAGAGTCAGGAACTACATCTCCCAGCCTGCCCCGGGGAGGCTTCAGCCCTCCCCCACCCCTAGGAACGTACAACGGCACCTGTAGTGTATTAAGTTACAATCTGTACCTGTCAGTAACCGCTACCGATCGCACGTGGCTACACACGCTGTGGTGCATTTGCTACATCAGGGTTTATACAATAGCAATCGATGGGGAGCAGTTTAATACACTCAGCCGGGGTCTCCTCAGTCTAATGATGCAGCAAAACCAGCCCCTCCCCCTGCTTTTCTCCTGGTAAGATCCAGCCAGTCTCCTGCCCCCCTCCAGGCTGAGGAGGGTTCCCCGATTCCCCGAGTGTCACAAACCCCCTGCGAGGGGCCCGGCGGGGCAGGGCCAGGCCCGGGGAGGAGCCGCCCCTTCCTGACCCGGCAGCCCGCCCCTTTGTGTCGGCAGCGGGGCCATGGCCGGGGCCGGGAGCGCAGCGCGGAGGCTGCTCCAGCCCTGCAGCCCGCGGGGCAGCGCGGTGGGTCCGGGGGCAGCGCGGAGCGGGCAGGGCCCAGGCGGGCGGCGGAGACACGCGTGGGGCGGACACGCTCCTGCCGCGAGGGGCCGGGCCCGGCTGCCTGGTTCGCCCCGTGACCGGGTGGGTCCCCGCGGCCGGAGAGGGGCTGCCCGGGTCTGCGGGGGCCGAGTGTCCCGGGCGGGGCGGAGCGGAGCAGCCCCTGCTGCGGGGCCGGAGCGACGGAGCCCGGGAGCGGCTGGGCCGGGAGCTGCAGGAGGGGCCCGGAGCGCGGCTCGGCTCGGGATCGAGGGAATCGGGGAGCTGGGGGGTGGATTTGGGGTGTCAGAGCCGGGCTGTGGGGTGGGAGGAGCGGCTGGTGCTGCGGACTGCGGGGCTGCTGGGAGTTTGGGGTGTGCTGGGGGGGGTCAGGGCTGGGGATTGGGGATTTTGAGGGGCTCCATGTTCAGATCTGGCCCTGCGGGAGCATTGGGGGCTGGAGCTGGGGAAAGTGGGGGACTGTCTGAAGTTTGCTGCTTGGGATGTGGGTGAGGCCCCGGGGATGTGGGGAGCTGGCTGTTGGGCTGCACCTCTGTCACTGCAACTTGGGGTCCTGCGTTTTCTCTGGAAAAGCTGCTCCCTGTTTCACCCTCTCCTCTCAGTCTGAGTCCCAGCAACTCTGCACAGGAGTCTGCAGGGCAGGATGGGCCATGAAATCTGACAGCTGGGAGTCCCTTTGCAGCAGTTTCTAACCCTCCCTCCCCTGCTTCTTCCAGGAGGTACCAAAAAAGCATCTGGCCCCTCTGGGAAAAGAGAGAGAAGCAGCCAAAGCTGAGAAGGAGCGGCACAGCGAGGAGCTGCTGGTAGGTGCCCAGAGCTCCCTGCCACTTAGGTTTGCCTGGCATAAGAATGACATGATGAATGCAGAGCTCAACCTGCCAGCCTCACCCAGGGAACCATCCGCACTGGAGCCCAGGGAGCCTGCAGGGTCAGATACGGGGGTAACATGATGCCCTTAGGATGCAGGAGGCTGCTAGGCAGGAGAGGGTCAGTCTGTGTTAGCCCAGAGCCCCTGCCCACAGGCCATTTGGATGTCACAGTGACCAGGGATCCTTTCTAGCTCCTGGGGACGGGGGAGAAGGGGAAGGAGATGAAATGTGGGCTGGAGAGATGGTGAGTTTGGCTCAGTGCAAGTTGATGAGGTTTTGGGGAGAAGAGTCCCTCCTGTTGGTGATGTGCAGCTCACCCTGGCCCTGAGCCCTCCTCTCTTCCTGGAGAAAATGACATTCCCATCCCCCACAGCAGGAGATCTTGTGTTCTGGTAAATAACTCTGCCACCTACCCCGAGGTGTGTTTATGATTTTCCCCAGTTACCAAGCAGATGAAATTCAATGTTGATAAATGCAAAGTAATGCACATTGGAAAAGGTAATATCAGTTATGCACATAAAATCATGGGGTCGAAATTAGCAGTTATCACTCGAGAGAGATCTTGGAGTCATTGTGGATAGTTCTCTGGAAACATCCATTCCATGTGCAGCGGCAGTAAAAAAAGCGAACAGAATGTTGGGAATCATTAGGGAAGTCATAGATAATTAGGCAGAAAATATCATAATGCCTCTATATAAATCCATGGTACACCCACATCTTGAATACTCTGTGCAGATCGGGTTGCCCCATCTCAAAAAAGATCTATTGGAATTGTAAAAGGTTCAGAATAGAGCAACAAAATGATGAAGGGTACGGAACAGCTTCTGTATGAGGAGAGATTAATAAGACTGAGACTATGGCTACATTACGCAGCTTTTAGTGACACGGCTGTGCCGCTACAACCGTGCTGCTAAAAGGCCCGCAGTGTAGCTGCTCTTTGTCGGCAGGAGAGAGGTCTTCTGCTGACAAAAATCTTCCACCCCCCCACGAGCGGCAGCAGCTTTGTCGGTACGAGAATGCTCCTGAAGACAAAGCGCTGTTCACCCTGCTGCTTTTCATCGGTAAAAATTTGTCATTCGGGGAGGGAGGGGGGTTAACACCCCTGAATGACAAGTTTTGCCAACAAAGTGCCAGTGTAGACAAAGCCTGAGACTGTTCACCTTGGAAAAGAGACGACTAAGGGGGGGATATGGTAGAGGTCTATAAAATCATGACTGGTGTGGCAAAACTAAATAAGGAAGTGTTATTTATTCCTTCTCATAACACAAGAACTAGGGGTCACCCAATGAAAGTAATAGGCAGCAGGTTTAAAACAAACAAAAGGAAGTATTTCTTCGCACAATGGACAGTCAACCTGTGGAACTCTTTGCCAGAGGATGTTGTGAATGCCAAGACACTAACAGGGTTCTAAGAAGAACTAGATCAGTTCATGGAGGATAGGTCTATTAGTGGCTATTAGCCAGGATGGGCAGGGATGGTGTCCCCAGCCTCTGTTTGCCAGAAGCTGGGAATGGACGAGAGGGGATGGATCACTTGATGATTACCTGTTCTGTTCATTGCCTCTGGGGCACCTGGCATTGACCACTGTCGGAAGACAGGATAGTAGGGTAGATGGACCATTGGTCTGACCCAGTATGGCCGTTCTTATGTTCCCCTGTTACTGAGCCACCCTCTCCCTGTTGCAGAAACAGACGGAAGCCGAGAGGCAGAAGATCGTCTGGGAGTGGCAGGAGCTGCGAGGGTTTCTGGAGGGGCAGGAGCAGCGGCTGCTGTCCCAGCTGGAAGAGCTAGAGAGAGCCATTGTCCAGAGAAGGGATGAGGGCATCTGCAGCCTGTCCTGGGAGATTTCCCTGCTCAGCGAGAGGGGAGGAGAGAAGGGGCAGCAGCCGCTGAGCCAGTCCCTGCAGGTCAGGCTGTTATTGCAATGATCGTATGCAGTGTTTCTGTAGGCGCTTCTGAGCCCTAGACCCCAAAGCACTTTACAAAGTGGGGTCAGGGGCATTATCTCTATGGGAGAAATGGGGAGAGTGAGGCAGAGGGAGGGGCAGAGCCCTGCCCAAGGTCACACAGTGAGTCGGTCGCAGCACCAGGGATGGGTCCTGGGAGTCCTGGATGCTGCAGCCCCAAGCCCTTCTCTCCTGGAAATGTCTGTCTGCATTTGCACTTGGAGGGTGAAATCCCCTCCCCCCACCATGCTGAGGTCCTGAGCCAGGCCTAAGGCCCCTCTCACTGCAGGTTTAGTGGGGCCAGGGGCCTTCTGGGTCTCTCAGCGCTGGAGGGAATTTGATTCTCAATGCAGAGAAATATCTTCTGCCTGCAAAGTGCCCGGGAGAAGATTTCCGCAGTGGCGACCTGCCCGCAGGGATTGCTGGGGCTGCGTAGGGGAAAGTCCCTGGTAGGGGGTGGCAGCTGCTTTGGGAATGAAAACCTGAAATTCCCCTACTGCCCGAGGCTTCAATGGTGACTCCCCTGCAGAGCAGGAGGCCGCCCCACCCAGGGACACTCCCATTGACTGCCTCCTCTTTCTCTCCCTCTTTAGGGTGCTGGGAGCACTGGGGGCAGGTAAGTCCTGGGCTCCATTTCCCTCCCCCTTATGGGCCGTTAGGTTTGATAACTGCACTGAATAGGAAGCTGCCCCCTGCCCTTGGAGAGTGTGATTCTGTCTCCCCTAGTGGCTGACTCGGGTAGGAAAAGAGCCGTTTACTGTCTGATCGCTAATGAGCTCACAGCAGGGCTGCTAGACACAGGGCCGATGGGACAGACCTGGCCTGTCTCCTGGACTCTCGTGGCCGGGTCATGTATTCAGAGGGCGCAGAATCTCAGCTTTCGCATTTTTTAAAGTGAGTTCCTGGGCCTCAGCACCTCCCCAGTGTAAACGGAGACAGTGTTGCCTTGCTGGGGCTGGTAGCAGCCTGAAGCCGTAGCTCTGGGAGTGTGAACTCTCCTGTCCACTGTTAATTTCATCAGAGTGTCAACTGAAACAACGACACTTCGATGTCAACATTAAACGTTCCCTGGCTGATCACTTGAGCAGGTGGATCGGGGAGGGGGTGGGAGTGAAGCCTTTGTGGGGTGGGAATAGGGGGTTGCTGTAAGGAGGGAAGAACAGAGGAGAGACACAACGACAAGGAAGCAAGAGAGAAATGGAGAAAGGAGGGTGGGAAAGGAAGGGAAACACAGGGAAGAACTAGCAGGGGCCCTACAGGGGTGTCCGGGAGGGGGCTGTTTTCCTCCTGAGTGATACTGAGTGTGATAGACAAAGACTTAGCAAATTAAGAACTAAAATTTTATTTCCTATACGAAGGACAGATTCTCCCCTTGTTCCTTGTACGTGGGTGTCCCATGGAGAGCAGTGGGTGTTCTGCTGTGAATGGAGTAGGGCACAGAGTCCTAAATTGATGCCCTGGCCCACTGACCATAACGGACGGTGCAATATGGCCCTCTCTGTCAAATGAGCTGGACGCCCCAGGGTTACTGCTTTAGCTAAAGGGCTTGGGGGATTTGGCATTCAAGGGCCCACGTTCATTCCCTGCTGAAGACCTGGGCTCTGTCTGTGGTCACTGTCAGCATGTAGGACCTGCCCACTCTTTGGTCTGTGTCTCCTCCCTTTCCACACAATCCCAGTGCTGGTGCCCCTTGTTACTGCAGTAAACCAGTGTGGGAGCTGGCTCAGCACCCCACAGAACCAGAGCGTCCCTGAGAAAGCTCCTGAACAATGTCTCCGTTCCTTGCTCTAGTGTGTCTCCCCACTTTCCGTCTCGCTGGGGAGCACAGGGTTGAGGTGACTCACCAAGACATTGACCATCTCAGGTTACAAAGCTCAGATCCAGGTTTCCTGGAGTTTGGGGGTTGCAGGGCTCAGGGTCTGGGGTTCAGGCCTATTTCTCACCCCTTCTTTCCTCAGCAGGGAGGACGGGATGTTTCGGAAGCCGGAGCCGGGGTTCATGGAGCTGGAGAAGAGACTCAGTGATTTCTCTCTGAAAAGTGCCATGCTGCAGGAGGTGCTGCTGGGATTCAAAGGTGAATTGGAGTCTGGGGGTGGCATCTCCTCTGGTTAGAGTGACCCTCACCCTGGGGCGGAGTCGGGGACTCGAGTGATGTCACTGATCCTCGGCTCCATCTCACAGCCCAGCTCAGCAAGTCGTCCTTCCCCATGAAGCAGCCCTGTGGGGCTGGCTCTGTCTGCAGTGGCTGCGTTATCGGCCTCTGATCTCTGGCACCATCTCGTAGTTAACAGCTGTTACGTTAATAAGCAATGGGGATTTCTCCATGAATGCAAGGGCCTGAATTCTCACCTCTCCCATCTTCTCCTTCCCCTAGAGACGCTGCGACGGGGGCTGGGGAGCGACACAGGTACGTGTCTGTCTCTGACTGGCCATGAGGAGATTTCAGACCAATAACCATGTTAACGACAGGGGATCGCAGCCTCCAGCATCTGGAAGCTGTGGAACAATGGGAAGCGACATTACTTTGTTCTTGCACCACTATATTTTCAACTGACTTGTCTCTTAAATATTTTAGCTCATCAATATTACGTAGGCATTTAAAGTGTTTTGCAGTATTTTTAGTATTCATTAATTTTTTTGCTTTTACTTTCTTTAATTATTGCATTTTTTACTGACTACATTAATTTTAGGAATTTTATCTTGCAGTTTTAATTGCAGTAATATTAATAGGGTTTTCAATTAAATTTATGTAGTCTGATTTTAAAGCTTTTTTTTTTAAAGAACACTAAGGTCTTTGGCAACTTTTCCTGTTTTTGAGTGGCTGCTTGATACTTTTTTAAAAAAAATACAAAGGCTGAGCTTTTTTTAAACGTATTTATTTGAAAGTTTGTTAGTATAGTTAGAGTATTTTGGCTTTTTTAAAAAATATATAGACTTTTTTTGTTGTGACTTTTTAAATTTGTAATGTACTCACATTTTTAACTTATAATTATTTTAGTGCACTATTTACCTCTTGTGACACAGGTTGTAGCTGATTTTTACACTTTAAATAAATAAAACAGCTATTAGCATCTAATTTTGTTAAAACAACAATTCAATATTTCTTTTTTGCATAACCTGCACTTCTTTAAGAATGCAACGTTTGGTTCTTTTAATTAACTTTTTGCGCTAAACTTTTTTTTATGCTTACATTATGCCTTATATTAATTTATATTTCTTGGGATGATTTTATTCATTTAAGACAGAATCTTAATTTTCCCCTCCCAATACATTCCTAGCCATCCCGATGATGATTAATTTCTGGGAAACATCCTCAGCAGAATTATTTGAATGTGTTGCACCGGAGAGTAAAGGTACAGAGGCAGTGGCTTGTGAGAAACAGGGTAAGTTTCATTACTAATCCTGCTCTTAAAAAGAAGGGTCTTTTGAGAAAATTTTTTTAATTTACAAGCACTGACAGACTTTAAGAAAGTCACTAATCACGGGAGCAATGGGTCTCTTTGGAACATATTTTAACTGACAAGCCCTTACAGCCTTTCTGAGAAACAAGATAGAACTATGGTCAACATTAACTGCAAATTAATGAACATGCATCATGAGGAGAAAGAGGAGGGAATACAAATTAAAATATAATGAAAACAGCCTCTTAGAAAGATTCATAGATTCTAGGACTGGAAGGGACCTCGAGAGGTCATCGAGTCCAGTCCCCTGCCCGCATGGCTGACCAAATACTGTCTAGACCATCCCTGATAGACATTTATCTAACCTACTCTTAAATATCTCCAGAGATGGAGATTCCACAACCTCCCTAGGCAATTTATTCCAGTGTTTAACCACCCTGACAGTTAGGAACTTTTTCCTAATGTCCAATCTAGACCTCCCTTGCTGCAGTTTAAGCCCATTGCTTCTTGCTCTATCCTTAGAGGCTAAGGTGAACAAGTTTTCTCCCTCCTCCTTATGACACCATATGAAATATATCAGTTTAGTAGCAGTGTTGCCATGTCAGGGGTGAGGCGGGAGATGATTTCCCCCCCCCCCCCATCTCTTTTCAAAAGTCCCAAAAGGAATAAAAGTGGGTGGCGTAGTTTTTATTTTTTATTATTTTGTTTACTAATTAAATCCATGACCCTAAGGCCAAAGTTGGCATAGGTAACTTTGTTCCCATGTTTTCTTGTTCACTAAGCATAGATCTTAGTATTTTCCCTGAACTACATCATTAGCCCCCTTTTGTTTGGACTAATTTAATTTTCTGTAGTTGGTCTTATTGCACCTGTGTATGACATTCTTTGCTGAAAATAATTTAACCTACTTTTCATCAACTTGTTGCTATAGGGTATTGTAAGATCTTATGAACTTTCATCTTCTTTTTACAGTGAAGTAAGGCAGAGAGTTCAAAATGTGGGTGTTATTGGAATTAACAGTTCCCAGGGTTGGTCCATATATGCCATTGCACTGGGCTCGTTCATGCTTTGTCCGGATACAATGTAGCACTCTCTTCCCATGCGTAGTCAGTGATGATACAAAAGAATGATCTAGGCTGGTGTTTCTCAGCTAGTGGTTTGCCACCCCCAGGGGCTCAGGAAAGGCAGTCAGGAGGCTGTGAGATGTTGAGCATTTCATTATGATCTAAAGCAAAGAAAATCTCACTCCCCCACTCCTGCACTCCCCTGTTCATTGTGGTCAAGTATTCTCTGTCAGCCTCTTGAAATATATGTTATATATAGACTCAGCATAGATACATGTTGTATTCTTACTTTTTTAGTAAATGTTTGGGGATTGGAAAAAAATTGACTTCCAATAAGTGGTACTTGCTTACTTATTTCAGCTGTGAAATTAGGCAGTTTGCAGCTGTGCACAGTAACCCTTTCATTGCCTGTATCACAGCCAGCGAGACTGAAACCCCTATGGTGATTAGTAGAGATGGGGACGAGGCAGAAAGTTTGGATCCAAACCGGCATTTAGTCATGTCAGCCATTGCAGGAGAGCAAAGGAACCCAGGGATTGTTGGTTACTAACTCTTTCAGGCAGAGGGAGGGGAGAGGGTAAAAGAGAAGACAGAAAATGAAGGAGAAATAAGTGTGTGTGGGGGAGGAGGGGGGAAGGTCCCAAGATCCCAAACCTGCCCACATCAAGTCAATAAGTCTAAGGCCAGAAGGGACCACTGGATCATCTGGTCTGATCTCCTGTCTAGCACTGGCTGCCAACACCACCCAGCACCCGCCCACTAAACCCAACAGCTGGAGTGAGACCAAAGTCTTGCAGCCCCCAGGAGACTAGAATCTTACATGCCCTAGGCAGAGAATAGGAGGGACTGAGGTGCACCAGTGCTCAAGGCCCCTGCAGTGGCAGGGAAATAGTTAAGTGAGATATTTCCGGGTACTCCTAATGAGTGCCCCGCACCCCACGCTGCAGAGGAAGATGAAAACCCCCCAGGTTACTGACAGCCTGACTCATGGGGGGAATATTCCTTCCCCATCCCACCTATAGTGATCAGCTAAGCCCTGAGAGAGAGTGATTGATGTCACCTCACAGCCCTAGTCCACCTCGCCCAATATCCTGTCTTCTTCTCCAGCCATTCCTGAAGCTTCAGAGGAAGGAGATTAAAAACCCATCTCAAAATACATTGGAGGAAAAAAATCCCTTCCTGACCCCTGCGAGTTGTGACCCTGAAGCATGAGGCTGAGGAACATAATACATGAAATGGAAGTGAGCCCCACTTAATGTTCCACTATTTGTCTCTATTGACAATGGCTTCCATCTTAATATCACCAGCAAACTTCATTTAATTTACTGCACCAGCACTGGGCAGACTTTGTCCTGTCCCTGCCTCCGCCTGCTCCCCAATGTTGGGGGAGTTGCCCCCAGGGTTTTAAAACTAGCACAGTGGGTTTAGTGCTGCTGGGAGGGGTTGGGTCTGCGCTGTGATAAAGTGATGGAATATTTTCCCAGCATGCGAGTCAGAAACATCTTGTGCAGGGAAAGGGCCGGGGCAAATCATGATGTGACAGGAACTAACTTCTGAAATCTTCCCTGTTACCCTTCTCACCCTGACAGGCGGCAGAGTAACGCCCACCTTTGACTCCAGATTGTCCCAGCCTCCCACAGGACAGGGAAGGGAACTGGCTGTAGTGGAGCCAGTCCAGGTAGGGATTATTGCAGGGTTGCTAGTGAGTTTCTGCTGGAGGGAGAGGGGCAGGAAATACTGAGGTCCTGGGATCCTTGGGGGAGCTCAGTCTGGAGGTGGGATGGGGGCGGGAAATACCCAAGGTGGAGAAAGGGAGGGGGAAAAGGCATGTGACAAACTTGCTGGGAATTGTTTAACCCAAGTCCTGGATTCCGGGAACAGACCCATGGGGTTTGGGGGAGGAAATTATCCTATTTGTAGAATGGGGCTGGTGGGGGAACACTGGACAGCGCTGGGAAAATGTATCCGATTCCCAGTGCAAGAACATAAACCTACTCGCCAGAGGCTTCTACGAGATTCAAAGGAGGGGGGTGGGAGGTTACCCACCAGTGTGGCCTAGAGTAGATAATCCCCCCTTCCTTCCAGCTGCTGGCAATGGGCAGTCTGTTGGGATTCCTACTGGGGAGCCAACCCTGGAGCCTGCTGGGGACCCCATCCCCTGTATCAGCCTCTGGCTTGTAGGTGTGTGATGAATGAGAAGACCCTTCCCCCTCTCTCTCTGCTGGGAGGGATGAGGGGATCTCTATCTCGCCTCCTGTTTTGTCTCCTGGCTGCTCTGAGCAGGGTGGGGGTGGGTCTCTGCTGACAGTGACCCTGCCAGAACTTCCATTTGATTGACTCCTCTCCCCCACGAATAGTGGGGCTCTGACTGGGGCAGCAGGTACTGAGTGTTGGACTCTTGCTCTTTCAGGGGCCGGTGACCTTTGATGAGGTGGCTGTGTATTTCACCAGGGAAGAGTGGGCTCTATTGGACCCCCGTCAAAGAGCCCTCTGCAGAGACGTCATGCAGGAGAACAATGAGAATGTGACCTCACTGGGTAAGGTTTCCCGTCCCCTCGGTTCTTGGAAGGGGAAATGAAGAGTTAAGGTTCACACCACCCCCACAATGCCACCTCTGCTCTGCCCTGTTTCAGCAACAGCCCACTGAGTGCATTGAAATGGGGCAGACTAGGTCCCTCAGGGTTCACATGCACCTCCCTTCATATCAGTCACAGCTCTGCCGAGCTGCTCCAATTACTCCCTCCACCATCCAGTTACAGCTACAGCTGACCCAGTGCACCCAGCTGGAGGGCATGCGGATAAATCCTGGTATTCCCATCTGTGAACACAACACAAACAATGGCACGTTCTTAGTCCTTCATATCTATTGTAGAATCAGAGATTTTTTGGCCAGAAAGGGCTATTAGGTCTAGTCTGACCTCCTGTATTACACAGGTCATAGAATTTCATCCTGTTACTGCTGTACTGAGCTGAATACCTTGTGTTGGACTAAATCCTCCCCCAGAAAGGGATCCACTCTGACTTGAAGATTTCAAGAAATGGAGAAACCGCCACTTTCTTTGTTAGTTTGTTAACCTTTGCATCAGCCTTACTGAGCCATTCCCAGTGGCTAGTGCCAGCTGCAGGGCTAGGGGCAGAGTTAAGATTGCATTTTAGGGATGGTGTGTATATTAACTCTTCCTTTTCTGTTTTTCAGAGGTTTAAGTTTAGCCACCACCCACATAGTGGAAAGGCATGTAGCAGAACTGGGCAACCTGTACTTGGTATTTGTGTAGGTTATGGGCATTTGATTTCCTTAATTTTTTAATAGACTTTTTTGGCACTCTGTGTCTGCATGAGAGATTTTGTCGGCATAATTCTGTCAATTAAGGATGTGCTTTTTCGCATCCCTAACAAACAGAGCTCTGCTGACAAAACTTTGCAGCTCAGAAGAGGCCAGAGTTTTAAAATCCACTAGCAGACACTTTAAAATATTGCTCTCAGCCCTGAAATTTTGGAATCAGGGGGAAACTTCTAATAGGAACTCCTTCAGAATGCAAGCAAAACGCACAATACACATAGTCTGAAAGTTAACAGTGGCATGGCTCCAACTCAGATGAATGTGTGTAGCTCAGAGTCAGTGGCCACAGCATGTTCTCTTGACCCAACCAACCAATGACTGTGAGAGCAATGTGAGGTTCCTATTCAGGAGTTCTTGGGTGGCGGGGTAGGGGGGAAGGAGAGCAGGGAGCATGGGAGGGGAGAAGATGATGGGGGAGCTAGTGCTTGTGGGGTGCCACAAGATAGGGCAGGCTGAGTGTAGTGGGAGGAAAGGGATAGGTATGTGGAAGACTAGAGGGAATCAGGGAGGGATGGGTACCATGGAAGAAAGAGGAGGTGAGGAATCAGAGACAGAAGCTCCTGGGAAGAGGTAGTGTGGTGGGTTGGGGGAGTGGGAGACTAGGAATGGAGAAACGGGTGTGGAGGTCCCAATAGTAGTGCTATTGGAGGGGGAGGATTGGGTAGGAGATCTGGGATACTTGGAAGTGGAAAGACTGAGGATAGTGGGAAGGGAATGCGGAGTGGTTGCTCCAAGGAGCAGGAAGGATCTGGTGGCAGTGGGAAGGGAAGGTTTCAGGGAGGCAGATATTTGGGGCCCTTCACTGAGAATGCTTTTCCATAGTCTTTAATGACCTCTCCCTAAGCAAAGCTCAGAACCAGTACTCCATCCTTATTCTTCTTGATCCGTCAGCCACCTTTAATACCACTGACCATGGTCGTCGTCTTGACATCTTGTCTTCTTCCTGGCTCTCCTACCTCTGTAACCACTTCTTCAGCGTGTCCATAGGAAGATCGTCCTCACCCCCACTCCGGTTTTCTGTGGGGGTTCTACAGGGCTCAATCCTTGGTCACTTCCTCTTCCTCTGCTCTTTATCTCTGGGAAATCTCACCCCCAAACACAAATTCAGCTACTGTCCGTATGCTGATGAATCACAGATATACCGCTCTACTCCAGACCTGTCTCCTTCTGTCCAAACTGAAATCTCAGCCTCCCTCTGATGACTCCTCATGGATGGCCAGCCATCAACTCAAGCTCAAATGTTGATAACGGAGCTCTTAATTCCCCAAACCAGCTCCCCACCTCCTTTCTTGCTGTTCACTCCAGAATTAGCTGATGGAATCT